TTTGCCAACGTTAACTTGCCTAGGACTTCTGTCATTCTACATATTTGATTAACCAAACTATATTTGTATTTACCGTGAGTGAGTGGGTATGTGTGGGATTGATTATATGTATTATTCTTAGGTAATTAAATTGTACCATGAACTCAGTATCTTTGTTGACTTTATACATTATCAGGCACCATGACTACAGACCTTCGTGACAATAACATCAAATGAAAAACATTTTCCTGTACAAAAGAACAGTTTTATTTAAATAATTGGAATATCTAGGTTAAATTATTGGATTCTATAGGTTAACTTTCATTACATTTTACCTGGTAGAATAGATGCAGTGAAATATATCGAGGATATTTGATGGTGTCTTTAGTAACAACAAATATGTTTCTTGAGTGTGGCTAATATTTTGATATTTGCACAAGTGAAAAATATCAAAATATTAGCCACACGAGTGAAATATTTTTGTTATTACTGAAGACACTATAAAAATTTCTATTTATTACATTTTTTAAAGCATAAAATATGAAAAATGTAATGCATTAAAAAAGGGCGGGAATCAGAAGCGTAACAATTAGCGCCATATTCTAATGACGTCACGCTTTACAACATGTCTGCGCGCCATTTTGAATGGGATACTTTGTTATTAATTGTATATTGATGTAAATTCTGAAGTGTGTGTTACCATAACAACCACTTATTCTACCGTCGCTTCATTTGAATATGAACAAAAAATCGTTGCATTTGAATGCAGCGAATAGAAGATACCGTTATGATTGGTCAATGCCAAAAAGTGATATTTGTCACAGTGTGAAAGATATCAGTTTAATCAAGTTGACAGAATCCGATATTTCACTGGAAAAATATAATAAATTTGTATATTATAGTTCAATCTACTGAAGGCAATGTTGATGATCTTGTTGAAGCATACACATTTGGTATAGAAGCCCTTATAGAGAAACACGCACCTCTGCAAACTAAAGTGATACCTGTGAGACCAAATGCCCCGTGGTATAATGAAAATCTCCACGTGGAAAAACAGAAACGTAGACAAGCAGAGAGACAGTGGCGACGGACCAAATTAACCGTGCACCAACTGATTTATAGAGAGCAATGTCGGCTAGTTGGTTCACTGCTCTTTCAGTCAAAGAAGGCTTATTATTCGGAAAAAATCGAAGGATGTGGCAAGGATAAAAGACAACTTTTTAGACTCACCAAAAACCTAATGGGACAGAAAGGTGAACTTATCCTACCAAGCTGTAATTCTGAAAAAGACTTAGCAAGCAAGTTCAGTGATTACTTTCTGAATAAAATCAGCTCAATCAGGAAAAATATTACCGAAGTGAACACCTCTGCTGACATTGACATCTCTGTCATGACTGCTGACATTGCATTTGATGGGGAACCATTGACAAAGCTCTCACCAACAACCCAGGACGAGTTGCGCAACATTATCATGACCTCGCAATCGAAGTCCTGTGAGCTTGATCCACTGCCTACAGACCTATTAAAGCAATGTCTTGAAGCACTGCTTCCTTTGATTACCGCAATCATGAATAAATCATTGGTTGAGTCAAAGGTTCCATTATGTTTCAAGAAGGCACATGTCAGACCATTGTTAAAAAAGCCTGGAATGGACAAGGAGGAGTTGAAAAACTACCGCCCAGTTTCAAATCTGCCTTTTCTGTCTAAGATCTTGGAGAAGGTTGTGTCCCGGCGTTTAGAGGTTCATCTCCATGCAAACAGTCTCCATGACAACATGCAATCGGCCTACCGCATGGGACACTCTACTGAGACGGCCCTCCTACGTGTACATAGTGATATAGCTTCTGCATTGGATAACAAGTGCAGAGCGGTGCTTGTCATGCTGGACTTGTCAGCTGCATTTGACGTCATCGACCATGGCATACTTTATAAACGTCTGGAATACTCTTATGGAGTGACTGATACCGCACTATGCTGGATACAGTCATACCTGAGTGAACGACGACAGTGTGTTGCCATCGGATCTGCCACCTCACATGACAAAGTACTAGATTTCGGGGTTCCTCAAGGGTCGGTGTTAGGACCACGAAAATATTGTATGTACTCCAAACCGATTGGAGAGATTTGTCGTCGCCATAGCCTTCGCTATCATTGCTATGCTGATGACACACAAATTTACATGGTCATAAAACCACAGGACAGTTGGAATACAGTCTCAGAAAGTCTGGAAGCTTGTCTGACAGATATCAGTATCTGGATGAACGCCAACATGCTTAAACTTAATCAGGAAAAGACGGAACTAATCGTCTTTTCCCCAAAGTGTCAGCAAACAATGGCTCTCCAGCTCAAGGTTGGTGCCAGAACTATTGAGACTGTTCCAGCTGTTAAAAACCTAGGGGTATACTTTGACAGTTCTCTGAACATGGAGAAACAAGTGAACGCTATTGCCAAATCCTGTTACTACCAGATCAGGAACATCGGCTGTATTCGGCAGTTTCTAACTGCAGATGCATGCAAGATTTTGGTGCATTCACTTGTTACCTCTCGGTTGGATTATGGTAACGCCCTGCTCTGTGGTATATCTGACAAACTAACTAGTCGTCTGCAGAGGGTTCAGAACACTGCAGCACGGCTAGTTACTCGTACTCGAAAGAGAGAGCACATCACACCTGCGCTTTATTCGTTGCACTGGTTACCTGTACGATACAGGTCGCAGTACAAAATTCTGGTATACACATACAAGGCACTGAATGGAACAGCTCCTCAGTACCTACAGGAACTTGTTACCCTGTATCAGCCGTCAAGATCACTGCGGTCGGAGTCAGAATCTTTGTTGTGTGTCCCAAAATCTCGTACTGTGACCTACGGAAACAGATGCTTTGGGAGGGTTTCGGCTACGTTGTGGAATAGCTTACCATCTGCTATTAGGAAGTCGAATACCCTGGCCAAGTTCAAGAGGGACATAAAAACTCACCTCTTCACGTCTGCATTTTAGAATCTTTGCAAAGACGTCATGTAAATACCACCCTTTTATTTGTTCAATTATGTGCACATTGCTTGTTAAATGTATGAAAGTGATTGCAAGCCTTTGTTGTTTGTTTTCACAATTATAACCATTACTATTATCCATATGTTGTAAAGCGCCTTAGAGTAGTTTTACAAATTATATAGGGCGCTATATAAATGCTGTATATTATTATTATTATTATTATTATTATACGAAAATAAGTACCTTAGGCCGTAAAAGCCTTCGTGAATTATAAACCACTTTTTACTATAAACCACGCACATAGTTTGATTATATGATCAAAGGACTGCTTGAGTTATATTTTGGGATTCTCAACTTACCTTACATACCAATAGGTATACAAAAATGCAGGTTAGTGACTAACACGCTACTTGGTAGACCTTTCACAATTTACTATTCATTTATATTTATAGGTTTGTACTAATATTCGATTACACTGATGTCAGTAGTATCTGTTCATACATGTTGGAATATGCTAGTAGGACTATATAACATTCTCTTACACTCTTCGTTAGCACAAATTGTCTTGAATATTTGAATTGACATTGATTTGTGTTATTGATTACAATTTTATACTAATATATAGATATAATGTTAATTGTAAAAAAAAGTTTCTTCAACACTGATATAAAGGATATAAGCAACTTTAACTTACTTTTTGGGTGGTCGGGTGGCGCAGTGGATAGCGCATTTGTCTTTCACCAAGGCGGTCAGGGTTCTTTTCCTCGATCTGAAAGGTAGGGGGTCACGTGCCTGACTACATGGGTTTTCTCAGGATACTCCGGTTACCTCCCAACAAGAGTGATTACTATAAGTTGTAAAAACTTGTTTCATAATTGTTGCAAAGTAAATTAATAAAATTTATATAACTAACCGAAAATGTTACAATACAACCTTATATAATGAAACGTTATGTATCACTGTAAGTCGAGGTGATGTCTGGAAACACAATTTAAAAAAACCCCAAATGACCCGTTAGTCCGGTAACGCTTGACTCCTTTTAAAGACTTTTAATATTACTAGTTTGAATCAAATGAATTTTCTCCATGACGTTAATTTGGTTTAAATCCTTCAACCCGCGAGGCAGATTGATGATTCGAACCAACGATATCACATTTGATTTACACCCGAACATATTATTCTGACTATAAATGAACGGATTCAATTATAATTAATGATTAGATTGTTTTTATCCGGGTTATTAAAAGGCGATTTAGCAAGCTTATCTATAGAACAATGCCAACTTAAATTTATTGGGATAGTCACTGCACGGATTAACAGATGAACATTTTACAAATCAGTTAGATAGTGTTATCGGTACATTCTCCTTTAGATATTTTACTAAGTAAATATTGCTTTACATTTTATCTATCATGGGTAAGGCAACAAGGAAGTTGACCCAGGGGAGTTATCTATCAGTGTCTCATATAATACATTCACACATGCGCGGGGACTACTCTATCTGAAGGTAGGATACATTTTATATTTGTAATTCGATTACACTCGATTAAGGAAGTTACGACTTCGATAGTTTTAAACTTTTTGGGCGTTTTAAAAACAAACGATTTAGTATTATACGTTAAGTGTTATGAACGTAGCTCACATACATGTGATTGCACGCCTAAAGTGTATTAATAGACACATTAGGCCAAAATGAACAACGCTGCATCGTACAGCTGTTCCGTCCTTCTAGTACTCATCGGTCATGCTAGGGGACAAAATGGAAATCCAAATAGGGTTAAACTACTGTTAAAACAGGAGGGTTGTGTTAAAAAACCACGAAATAAAAACAAATGCTATCTATTTCATCATTTATACAGGCATTGAGAAGCTGTTTTTCTGTTTATTTACATTTTCTATACAAACGCGATGACAAGGTACAGGTTTTAATATGGAGTTAGAACATGTTAGAACATGGGTAAGGCAACAAGGAAGTTGACCCAGGGGAGTTATCTATCAGTGTCTCATATAATACATTCACACATGCGCGGGGACTACTCTATCTGAAGGTAGGATACATTTTATATTTGTAATTCGATTACACTCGATTAAGGAAGTTACGACTTCGATAGTTTTAAACTTTTTGGGCGTTTTAAAAACAAACGATTTAGTATTATACGTTAAGTGTTATGAACATTCGTGAGAAGCTGTTTTTCTGTTTATTTACATTTTCTATACAAACGCGATGACAAGGTACAGGTTTTAATATGGAGTTAGAACATGTTAAAAATATGTTCAGTTATGCTGCAGAAACATGTTAAAATAACAAATACGATAGCGAGGAGCTGGAGTTATGGTGAGCGAGGGGAGGATAATTTTTTTTTAAATAGGCCTAATATACAATCTAAAACCAATAGTTGTGAATAATATAAAAAATATGAAAGAAAGAGAGTGAGGTGAATGGAAGCTTTCCTACGAGAGGAAACTATTTCTTAATTTGTAACATGTCGGTAAATTAAAAACATCTAAAAAAACCATAACGAATACGATAATCAGAAGTGTAGCTTTCTGCTTTATGATTAAGAGAAGTTCAGATCACCGCAAAAGCTAGGCCAAGGTGAATTGATAACTATGACAAAGGAAGATCTTCACCATTTGATACAGGAGATAAAGAAAACCACCCAATCTAACGAAGGCAGAAATAGAATGGACGGTGATAAGCGATGAGACACCAGGTGTTATGCATGTGGAGGTCAAGGCCACTTTGCTAGGAACTGTGCTGTCAGCGATAATGGAAGTGGTCGATGGGGATTCAGAAACTAGACGCCACTTGATCCAAAAGCTAAACCATATTCACCAAGGGTATCTGATGGAAACTCGTCATCAGAAAGAGGTTTATCATTTCAACAACAGGGATCTTTTAACTAGGGAGGGTAGACTCAACAGGCCCTGAGGAAACCCACCAGAATACTGAAGGCCAATCTATGGACAGCCTGGAAATGGCTCCTGAGAAGACACTAGATAGGCAACAAGATGGATCGAACATAATCGGACGCCAGGTACTAAGAAGTGATGGCCTATGTGTTAAGGGTAAGGTCCAGGGGCCCAAGGTGATGTTTACTGCAGACACTGGGGCTGCTCGAACAGTACTCTCCACTAGGGCATATGTTAAGATTCCGAACGAAAGGAAGCCTACCCTAAACCCTCCTGAGATGTTGACAGATGTCAGTGGAAAACCATTGAGAGAACTCGGCAGAGCAGACTTTGACGTTCAACTAGGCCACCAAACATTAGATAAAGAGTTAGTGATGGCTGAAATCGAGGATGAGGGTTCGCTGGGGCTGGATGTTCTGATGAAAGAAGAGGGTCCAGCAGATGGTAAACTCAGTGAAGATATCCTGCAATTGAACGGAGAGAAAATCTCTTGCATTTAGGTTGGATGTCCACAGCTACAACGAAAAATAATAGTGGCTGAAGATTATGAAGTTTCTGGAGGTTCTGAGAAGATAAGCAATGTTATTGTGGACAGATTTGATACAGCTGATGAATTACCAAAACAAGACCGTTCAATAGAGCAGTAAAAAGACTCTTTGGAAAATCACCCATTGTTGATGTCAGCTTCTTTGGCTGATATAGGGAAAAATGCGACTTCCAAATTATGTCGATTAAATTCCTTTAAGGAGAAAGTGAAGACCAGACACAACACTGTGGTATGAGAGGCTGAGATGGTAGACAGCTCCAAGGTTCTAGTGCAGTAGAAGGAGCAACGCACAAACTCCTCTGCAATAAGAAGAACACAATTGAATAACACAGAACAGAATGTCGGAAAAGGAGAAAAAATAACAAACTTATGAATAAGGATGTTGACTCTGACATAGGGACTGGGGTACCAAAACACTTGAGGGAGTTATACAAAACGCAGGTGATGGGCGGACACAAAATATCGTGTACCAGATACTTAGCAAGATGTGTTGCAATAGTAACCTGACCTGAAGGCTATGGTTTGCAACAGAGGGACACAGCTACCATACAGATCGGAGAGACCTCTTCCCATGGAGGTTTTGCCTCGCATTTAGGCCATTCTTATATCAGACCGGAGAGACCTCTGCCCATGGAGGTCTGGCCTTGCATTTAGGCCATTCTTATATCAGACTGGAGAGACATCCGCCCATGGAGGTCTGGCCTCGTATTAAGGCCACGCTTATATCAGACCGGAGAGACCTCTGCCCATGGAAGTCTGGCCTCGTATTAGGCCATACTGATATCAGTGAGGGTCCAGGCTATGTAGAATCATAGACCAGAGCTAACTGGATGATGGCTCTTACCAGACTGTATTGGACCGTAGACCAGAATTGGGACTGGAATAAGACTCAGGAACAAGTATAATAAGTATATATATATATAATTACCTATGTATAAATCAGACTTTGGTGAGTACATGTATATTGTAAACCAATTGTAAAGATAAGTTCTGTATTATCTGTTGTCAAGTTTACTATTGTGAAAACTTCTAGGATAGGAGTAAAGATTTTTGAAATAAGTTGTACATTTATACCTACACTGAAAGCTGAGGTATGTTCGAATGTTTTTAGAAGAATTGGTTTGTCCTTAAAATTGCATTAGTCCATAGTGTTTCAGTGAAATTAGTACTCCAGTGACATGGATACTCGATATTGTGTTGTAATGGGAAATGTTCAGCAAAGGAAATATTCTTACTTTTGAGTTATGTTGTGAAAAGTTACATGAAAACTTTATCAGTGACATTCTAAAAAAATGTGAGAAATATAGATGGTATTGGAGCTTATGAGAAAGGAGTAGGATAATTGTTATTTGTGAGGATGAGATGTGAGAATTGTCTATGAGAATTAGCTGTGAGAATTGTAAACAAGAATTGCTATAAGATAATTACAAGATGTAAATGTAGATTGTCATATGTAAGGTACATAGTATAATGAACGGATGTGAAACTTATGAATAATTGTTGTTATAATATTATTAATATTGTCTTAAAAATTTCACATTGTTATATTACAAGTTACAAGGAGATGATATAAATTCCTTTAAAAAAATAGAACTATCCTCGTGAATTGTTTGCAAGAAGGAACTATTTAGTATTATTGTAATCGGTTTAGCGGGTGTAAATGTAATCGATAAGAGTATTACTGCATGTATATTTATTTAAAGAGTATGTTAATTTAATTTAAATGAATATGGTCATTGCCGTGATAATGGAAAAGGGAAGTAATTCATATTACTTGAAATATTCATACTTGTTATTGTTAGTTGAAAAGGGCCGGTTTCCAAAACAGCCCCTTCTCTGATTCAAATTTCCTGTTGGTGGTGCATTGCCCATGCCGTTTTGGTCACAAATCTATAAAGTATAAAGATTTAGGTCACTTGGTTTGTTTTTTATGGCTCCTCAAATTTGTACCTTTCAGAAGCTGTCTAACTGTTGATAAAAGGTGCATGTTATGTAAAATATTAATGAAAATCTAATCAAATGATGGTCACCGTAAAGAATACATTCATGGCATGATTGTGACAAAAAAAATCATGTTTCCATCGCGCCATTTGGCTGTTTTATGGAAGAAACAATCTCAAAAATGCCATTTTCGATGATAACATTTTAGACACAAAAACTATGTTATTTTTAGAGAATACACCCTTTTATGGGCGTTGGATGCAAACCAATTTTTATCCTATTAAACAGTACGTAATATGCTATTGATGAGAGGAAAAATCATCAAAATGTAAGTGGTGGAACATTTTCAAATGTTGGGTTGAATTAGCCTATGGTTGAATTGCCGATTTTCGACTTTCTTTAGATAATTAACAAAAAAACGAGAGTATTTGCTCGGTATGTTGAGAATATGTACACAGATATGAAAAAAAGTGAGAGAAACACTTTTTCATAAAAAAAATCCAAGATGGCTACTTCACAAGTCCCCGTGGTTGAAGACATTGGCTGACAAATAGACAGAACAACAAACAAAACGTGTTCCTTATGATTTTGGTTGGTTTTCGCATTTACGGGAGTGTTCATAGCTACGGGCGATTGTATAATACCTATATTTATAAGTTTGGTTAGTCACATGGTAACGGGGATCTTTCATATCGAGCCCCAAACATACTTTCGACATATGCACTCCGTTGCCGCATGGAAAACTATTTCAAGTTTTGTCGGAATTTCTTTACCTGTGGTTGTAATGGTCGAGGGTTTTCCAGCGTCCTGTAATACCCAAGGTAGTACAAGATACTGGAGATGTGCGCACACATTCCCATCGTTCTCTCTCCAACTGGGCACTGGCAGTAGTAGTCCTTTATTGGGGCCTCAACATCGGGTGAAACGGTGAACCGTATCCAAACGTTATATTTCGTTTGGCTTTTGTGTCGAGAATGTATTTGACATCGGAGAAGGTCTGGGGAGTGCTGGTAAAGCCACACCTCATAGTCTCCGTCATCACTTAAATGTTCGGCGATGTAACCAGGAGCCAGAGATATCTGATACGTTCCACACGTAATGGTTCTCAAGTAATCAAGATCGAGACGGGGAAACAGTACGGAAGATGCATCCATCTTGACAAACTCGGACCTTGCCCGTCTAGATAGATCCGGATCTGTCTTGACTCTCTGAGCTAAACCATTCGGTGTTGTCAAACGGTCCTTCATACGTTCAGCCATTAGCCTATCTTTGGCATCTCTCTCTGGAGATCTCTGGTAGATCGGTCCTCTAATACCATTCAGACAGGCTGTGACGGTTCGAAGCAAAGCCTCGATGACATTGATAAAGCTGTTAGACACCAATTGCGTTCGGAAGAACGTCCAGTGTTTCAGACGACCATGATAGGATTCCACAATCCACCTCGATTTGGTGATAGTTCTGTCAAGATTTGCTTGGACGTCAGAATGTTGACTTTGACCGGGTTTCAGGTATGACGGCATGCTAGCATTGAGGCCAGAGGCTTCGAGAACTGGTAGGACATCTCTAAAACCTCGGTCAACGACAACGTTGTCGTCTGGTTGTAGCCAAGTAACTAGCTTGTCCATGACTTTTTTTGTAATTGTAGCATCATTTTCGCTGCCAGTGAATGGTCCTACTGTGTCCAGAATGTAGCCATCTGGTAAGGCGATGCTCATGAATTTGAGATAGTTTCTCTTCTTCTGGCCACAGTAGGACATTCTCTGGAGCTTGTGGTCGGAGCTTTTCTGGATATAAATATAGGTGCCATCTAATATGGCAGTGGCTTTATCTCCAAAAAATGCTTCTGAAAAGACAGTATTGTGCCCGAGCAACTGTTCTCTTGTCAAGTGATCCGGACCTAGAAATTGTGGGACTATCGATGTGTCTAATGCCTGTACTATGGAGTGGAAAGTTTTGGACACACTTGACTTGGAAATTCCAAAAAGAGAAGAACACTGACTCCAGGAAATGTCGGTTTTCAGTTTTACCCAGAACAGTAATAGAGCATCGTGTGTAGTCTTGGTATATATACCAGATGAAAGATATGGGGAACAGTGCGAGTGGATTTCGAGGAACTGATCTTTGGACCAACCTGTCCAGGCCATGCATGCCGAGTCATCAAGAGAAGAAAAGCTTATTGTAAACGCAGACTGGTTCTGTGAAAGGACGTGCGACACCTCTAGGAGGTCATTAATGATTTCGGACGATTTTGATGGTAACTGAGATTCCAAGGAACCTCTACCATCAAGGACAACCTCTGTAGACGGATCTAAGTCGTTACCAATAAGGTGAATGGAGCAGACGCGGGATGAGGTGGGACACCACAGTTTGTGTGAATAGATCAGGTGATGTCTTGCACGTTTTGGTAAGACTGATGATTTTGTTCCATTTCTTGCAAAGGTAACAAGACAGAGACAGCATTTTTTGTGTGAAGATGATCCATTCAAAAGATCATGAAGGGTCAGCAACGGCAGGATATGGGACGGGGAGTCGTCTTCTTCCTCTATTTCCTGGTTCTGCTCGGGTTCAGGTTCAGGCTGATTTTTGTTCCGAAGATACTTCATGTAGCACTTCTGGCAAATAAGTGTTTGTTCCTTTGCTGATATCAATCCTTGTTGCACCAGCGTATCTAGGAGCCATTTATATTTTGGACAATTTACATTGCGTGCACTTCTGTTCTTATTGCAACTACGTTTCTTGAAGTATACTTGACACCCTTCTCCAACACATTTACCCTCCATCTTGAAACAATAACGATTGGTTTATGAAGCGTCGATAAAGTAACAAAATAGCAAGCCACCGATGATTGCTGTAAACAGCTAATACTTAGTAGTTTGGTACAATTATGCGAAAATGTGTGATAAATAACGAACAACTAATTACACAAAATAACAAGACAATATAATAAATCACATTCAATACCTCCAAGAAGCGCAGAATTGATTGATTACTTAGAACAAAATATGGATAATCTATCTATTCGATGTGGCGTGGTAGGCAGGCACAAAGAAAGTGAGACAAGTCAGGGTTCCAACCCTGACAGAGCCACAACGCTCTGGAGATGGGACAATAAAACAAGGAAAGTTAGACAAGAATAGCTAGCGTCGAGTCAATGATTCCGTTAACGTATAGATAAAGACAAGAAGATACGGATAAATGTACAAGGCCACACGATCAGAAAATTCAGAAGAGGACAACTTGAGATAGAACAGTATTCATGTATCAGGGTGTCCTCAGTGTAAATCTTTATATCGATACTGTTTATTTAGTCGTTACACATCATAAAACTGTCATGAAAATATCCGCTCTGATATTCAATATAAAAGTTTGTATATAATAAGCTATATAATAGGGTTTCAGACAAGGTTGTTACTCATTTCCCCTTTTCTTTCAATTTACAACCACATTCAGGCGGCGATATGAGAACGTTCCACCACATGGAATTAGCTGATTTTTGGTACACATATGAAACAAGTAAAGCTCTATCCGATTTTCTGATGGAAATTTGCATCCAAAACTATATAACGGGAGAAAATTGCAATTTTATGTTTTATGAATAAACACGATGTTTTGGAAATATTTATCAAAAGAAATTTATACTATGTTGCGAATTACAATTTCGAGATAACCTTCTTTTATTTACGAACTTATGTCTTTGATACTGAAATTGACAACTTTATAAAAATACATTTTCACTGAAAAAACAGTAGTTGAGATATTTAAGAAATTATACGGGGGCAGGCTCCTATGGAGAATTAACATTACTGGAAACAGGCCCTTTGTTGAATTTTAAGACTTTATATCTTTATCCAAGTTTGACATGTATTTACTTGTTTGAGATCATTTCAGAGTGGATAGAGATGAAAAAAGAAGCTAGTGAGTGTGTTATTACTCAAGTGAGAATGAGAAAAACCTGTTTGGTTTGGTTATTTTGTATTTTTGTACGGACACTAAAAATTTAAGTAGGGGGAGATGTAAAAATGTGGTATTTTACTGGATTGTTTGTCATGAAGTAGGCATATGTGCCTTCAGCCATTGCATACGACGTGCTCGACGTTGCGGTGTTTGTGGTGAGCCAACGTACCGTGCACGCGAATTAGTCTTGCGCAGTAAGTTTATCACTGTAAGGGGATGAATCCAATGGTTACGATTGCTAATCGTATTCCTTGTCTTTTCAGTAGCCGTTAATCTCTTTAAACGCAGTTGTGCAAACCTAATAACTTGGTCTTGACGTTGCAAAGGTACCCGTGAACGTCATGATCGCGGTCGGTATTCGGATCTTCCTGTGGCGTCCAGACGTGTATTTGTGATCTTTGAAGTCTCGAGCAACCTTGATCGGCGTGCTCCCTCCAATAAGCATTGCGATAATACGCCCCGTATTAACTTGTGGTAGCCGTGACATAATTGTAAAAGTAATTATCGTTGGCAAATGTATTGGCGATAATGTGTCTCGATGTCAATGATAAATTGAATAAAATTGAATACAATTGAGCGAATATTTTTTTTTTTTTTTTTTTTTTGCCGCACCGGATGTGCAAAGGTTTCTCGTCACACCTGATTGGTTTTTAAACCACGCTAGGGCTAAATACAGGGTGCGTTTTTATCTCCCCGATATAAATGAAGGTATGTACATATATATTTAATACAAAACACATAGCGATTTTAAAAGTTGCTTTTAATTTTAGTTTCAGTATATATACATATGACCTCACAATTATTTTGATCGGTAGTATTAGAAAGCACAAGTATAAGTGAACTTATACACGACTTTATATCAAAACTACCATTAAAAAAACCCTTTAATGATAGGAAAATTGAGAAATCAAAATAGGACACTTTGGTATGATAACTTAAGTGTAGTGAAACGTCATCAACCCTGGCTAACCCGTGTTAACCAGTAACTCTTGCATTCTGGACAATCATTCTGTGGAGCGAATTTCTTCAACAGTGATTTACTCGTTACTGGACACGGAGGAATTTTTATCGAGAACGTATATCTAAGCAAGAATGTTTTCCCTAACGTAAAACGCCTTCAAAATGCCACAATCAGTTTTCAGTCACCTTTGATAATATCACAACCTCATTTACCTTTATTTATAGTGATGCGAGTCATGTTAAAGACATTTAGTGTTCATAAGGAAATGTATTCGTTGGTTATCCAGTATTTTATGAGCAGTCGTGAAATGACCAACGAGGGTCGATTTAATACCCAATTCTTTATTCTTTGTTCAGAGTTTTGTTCAGTTCGGTTTTTCTGATCCATTTAACGTTCAGACTTAATATAATGTTTTAGGAATGTGACAGGAACGTCTATGATAATACCAGGATATTACGGAGAATGAAGGGTCTTCTTTTTTTATTTGACGTAATCGTAGTGTCGACTGGTAAGTATATTTAGAAGCCATATTTATACAGTCATGGTATATAAAGTGTTTTATTTTTCAATCAAATAGTTCTGATGACTTTGTATTCTACGATTTGTATTTGTTGGAACAAATGTTTAACTTTAATAGTAAAACTGTGTTAAATGATTAAATTAAGTCCAGCTGAATCAACGTTTTTCTGAACTCTCTCGTTGGGTGTATTTAATGAATTAACTGATAAAGGCGTGATAGCTCATTTCACTCATTTATATTAAGTATTATATTTAAAAATAAAAGAATAGAAATAATGACGATGATTTTACTCTGAAGATGGAAAAAGGCAATATGCAGTTATAACCGATCATCAAATATTGTTACAAATGTATTTGTACAAAGAAACACAAACTTAAACAAGTGGTATATTTTAACCTGCACACTGCATGTTACATGAATCTGTCAAAACTAAAACTTCTCTCCTTGTGCCACGATTAGCTCTGATAAAAGTACCTGTTTATAATTGTTGCTTTTTTAATTATATTTTCTGATTTTTACCGGTAGTTGAAATACGACAGTTAAGGAGCAACCGATGACAGGTTTTGCAATAAGCAACACGGAAGGATTATAAGAGAATCTAAATAATAAACAAGAAAACGATTTTTACAAAAAAGACCAAAACACGCCGGGTTAAACAAAAATCATAAAGAAATAATGAAAAATTGACCACAGGTTTTACAAAAATTGTAGATTTTTTTTTTAAATTTTCGACAACAATACGTGTGGAATGGATTCCTTAGTCAAGTGCAAGTATATACTTTTTTCACATGGGTTTTTACATATGTGCTGTTTAAGTTCAACATATTCTTTTCTATACCCGCATTCAGAGATCATACAAGTTAGGGTTAGATTTGTGTAAGTACAAAAGGTATCTAAAAAAAAGATAGGATTAAGAAAAATTACCAAATCAAACATCATCATCATCATCATCATCATCATCATAAGAAGAAGTATAGTTTGTTATTGAATGATACCATAAAACAACTGCAAGGAAGGTCCTCTTATCTTTAGATAAAACACATATTTAAAAAACTTAACATCCTTTTCATTTTATTTGTATTGAATTAGAAACACGATTTCATGAACTGTAAGCACATATCATTCTTGTCTAATCAAAAGAAAAGGCCTGGGTGTTATATTTTATTCGACATATTCTGCTAATTTGTTGCTTCGTCAGCTACTAGTGTTCGTCTCCGAGGTGTCAACAGTTCTCCGTATAGAGGAAGAGTCGAGGTATATCACAATGGTTCATGGGGCACAATATGTGATGATTCATGGACGGACGATGACGCAGCAGTCATATGCCGGATGCTGAATTTTAGGTATACAATCAAAATACACATGAGCGTTTTATACCTTATTCAAAAATTAAAGCGGCATGTTAACTTATTATATCAAATGAATTTTCGCTGATATTAAGCAACAATAATTTGCTATTGAAAGAAAAAGGAAACGCGTTATGACTTCCAATATATAATAACTTTATTCATTTTACAACAACCATGAAATAAGTTATTTCAACTTATATAAATCACTCTTGTTGGCCCGGATGTTATCGCGCGGACGGTCTAAATGTGGGAGGAACCGATTGTCCCGGAGAAAACCCATGTGGTCGCGCAGATGATCCCCTACCTTTTCACGTCCGATCGGGGAATCGAACCCCGGTCACCTTGGTGGAAGGCGAGTGCGCTATCCATTGCACCACCCGACCGCCGAACGTCCAATATCAGCGCAGTTTAACATTGTACAATTGCTATCAATAAAGACATATTTCTTAGAAAATCTATGAAAGAACAGATTTTTTTCTGTCGATAACGTTTTGAGAACGTTATACTATTGAGACTTGACACCGCGAGTTGTGTCGATAAACCAGCAGACGCTTACCCTTTCGACGTACCTGGTCTTTCCCTTGTTATCTTTCAAGAGTCTTGGTTTAACTTTTCCCGCTATTATTATGTTTGTTTGTTTGCCTTTAAATTTTCAATTTGAATTCAAATAGTTGTTTATGTTTTTCTTGGTTAAGTTGATCAATCGCAATTCACATATTTTCTAAACATGTTTTTTTTTAGGCCCGTGTTGATCTTTTATGTCGACAGTATTTTTTTTTTTTTTTGAATTATCGATCCTTTCTCTGGTTTGATTGTTCCACTTGAAAAAAACCGTTGTCGTAGTCATGTGTAATTAATAATACAAATGTAAAGGGATTTAAAAATCTGTTCATGCGTAATTTTATATACTTTAACAACTCAAAAGCCTTTCAAATGAGAATATGAATAGACATTTTTTACATGGATTTCATTAACATGATATACAAGAGTTTGTTGAATTTATGATTTAAAGCACGAAATCAACTTAATGTTTTATTTCTCAGAAAAGGCGGCAAAGCGTATAGGAATGCATATTTCGGGGCAGGAAGCGGTCATATATGGCTAGATGATGTCAACTGCACACAAGGACACACCGTAAATGATATTTCGGACTGTCAGCATCCCAGTTGGGGAACTAATAATTGTGGACATTACGAGGATGCAGGAGTAACGTGCACATTCATAAGTAAGTGTGGAGATTTGTGGTGTAATTTAAGTTAGATATGTTTGCCTTTGTATATTTGAACGATTTCTTGCTTCATTTGAGAGGTTGACAGTTGCTCATTATAACGAGTAGATGCCTTTCTCTGCTTTGCTGTTTTTTAAATACACTTATTGAGTATAACATACCCTAACGCCGATAATGCTTTTGATGAAAAAATGGAAAAGACAAGAATTGATTCACCAGCAAGAGTCTTTCGTTGTTTACAAAGTTTTGCTGCCTAAGGCTGTATGGGCCCGCCGATTAGCGGTTTAATTTGCCCACACAAATACAACAATGTTATATTCTTTACAGAAATGCTAGTTCAAATGACTGATCAAAATTGTCTTCTCTTGGTCCAAAAAGGTGTAGGTTTAACACACGCACTGATGTTTTTTCATCGCATCAAATAAAAAATTATATCTCAAGACAACGAAATGAGAGTGGAAAGGATACTCTCAATGATAAATTTTTATCCTTCAGGAACTTCCGTATTAATGTATTGTTTCACACTTAATTTGGCAGTTCCTTAGACATGACAATATGCGAAAAATAACGATAAGAAACTGGTGACACGATTGAGTTATATTTACATTTGGCTAGCGCGCACCATTCAGTTTGTCTGTGACACATGTAGCAGTTATACCAGTTGGTCTGCCACATCTATGCAGTTTATTACTTAAATGTCCTTTGACATTATAGATAAAATTATCAAATGGAATGCTCATATGGTAGATTTCTGCCGCCGAAAATTAAGATTCTTTCTCGCTAGTCATATAGTTAAGTCGCGGCGTTTTAAAGGTACTATAGAAACTAAATCTTAACCAAAAAAACACACCTACAAATATGTTATATTTTTCTTGTAAAGTCCTTTCAAATCAAACATCTATACTGGTAGCATTTGAATGCAATTTCATATATCTGTGATAAAGCCCAATCTGGCCCTCAAACAAGGAACTTTGAATCATAGCTTTTTGCATTATTTCCTCAATCCCTGTCTCTCCCCTCAGCTCCTCCCCTCAGATGCTTCCATTCATTGAGATTAATTCCTTCATTTACCTGATGTAATCATTTTGATCAAATCTTATCTATCCTGTCGAACCCTGCTGACATGTGCCGAGAATGGACAGGATAAGATAGTTTACACCCACATTTCGTATGTGTCGACAGTGAGATTGTGGTATTACCAGTGTCGACTTTACTTTCTCGCAACATAATCCAATGCTGATATCCGCTCTGTAATGGAAAACCTATCGTTATTTTTTTTCCACCAAAAAGCAATCATGTCAATTTGTGTTGAAGGCTTATGCGATTGACCTTCCATTGATTACGATTGAGACTTTTGCTTTCTAAATCCATTAACAGTTGTTCGACCACACAATGCACTAAATCTAAATGCGTCTATTCATTATGTGAGATTGAACAGTCGTTTGCCCTTTTTGCGCTAATATCAACACAATGTGATATTTGTTACAATTGGTTGCTCAATATCACGGAATGAAAAGAATACGGAAGACTCTTAAGGAATAAGGTACATTCTAGATGCTTTATTCAGGTCAGCGTGTTTAGCGTTATGGCAAATTTTAACATTGCGTACTAAACAGTATTACAATGAGCGTAAAACTAGGGCCATTCTCTAAAGGTTGCAGATAACAATATGATGAGTGACGGGGGTTTTGCCTAGGCTGTGTCTGACACAAAAAGCTGATCATCAACACTGTATGCTCACCTATGTATGGGACTTCTGCGTCTTGATCTTTTACAGGTGTCCATTTTAAAATCGTTTAAAACCCCTATAAACACTATTTTGCTAATTGCAAACATAATAGATTGAAAATTAAACTAATATAGCTAGAATAAAGTAACAAACTTGATAATCAAGTACATAGATTTAAAAGCGAAATTATATTAAGTGTTAAGGTATTTCTCAATTACCACCATACACGTTTGCCATCGCACATTGTTGTCCATCGTACCCACAGATGTGCACAAGCTATAATAGTCCAGATTGTCACCGTTCTGATTTTACAATAGCACTGAAATAGGATTTCTGAGTGTTTTTTTTTTTATATAACATAAAGCTGAACGTTTTGGTCTCAAACTTTTTTAACTTGGTTTATTAACATCTATTTAATAAAATTCAACACATATCTTTTCTCGACAATGTAATACAGTTATGTTATCGCACGTATTACAACGCAACATTTCATTTCAAATCAATTTTATTGTATTAAAAAAAACACACAATTGGATTAGGCACAGGCATTGCCTATAAAAGCCCTTTCCAGAGAAAATACACACATTTCATGCATTCATATATACATATATATATATAGAGAGAGAGTATTATAGAGAAGATGTAGTATATGTTTGAATTAATAGGAGAATACTAGAACCAATTAATACATGTTCACAGAAAATAATACATGTAACTAGAATATCATAGATTTTACCATTTCAATTAATATAGTCTATTTACTTCAATTATTACTAGCCTAGTGTTTGGTTGGAGGCACTTCAAAGACACTGTCACTATACACAGTGCCATCCTTCCCAATAACACCAGAGTTATTGTTATAATATAGCAAATATAAACACACAGTAATATAATTTTTTAGTATAGTTTAAGTTAAAATCTTCCAGATTTGTCAATAAACTCCAGAACACATGAGAGAATAAATTTATTTGATTCACTGCTAAGGTTCATATCACCCTTAGTGAAAGTAACAGTATTTAAAATGATGTTGTCAATTTCGTTGTAATTAGATAACGCATTGAATAAAACTTGTCTTTCATCTATATATTTGGGCAATTGAGGAAGAAGTGATTTGCATCTTCAATAATAAAACCACAGTCACACTTAGGGTTATCTGTAAGATGATCAATATATCAATCTGATTTTAATTGGCTGACTTTATTCCGTAGTTGACATAATGTTATATTCAACTTCCTGGAGCCACCGTATTTAAAAATATCCGTAAAGTTAGATGGTTGCAAAACGTATGTGCTTTCCTTAAGTAATTCCAGTTTTAACTGACTCAATGAAGTGAGTTTTGGAAAAATACAGTCTGGCCTATTCCAAAGAGACATCATTCTAGGAAAAAAACTATTTTTATACAAGTTGGTTCTGCACAAGGGAACAATAAAGTTTCTATGATGTCTAAGGCAAGGATTAATATCATTATTAAAATACGGTAAGATACAATCATAAAGATGGTCAGGACAGTCATGCTGCAGTATCTTAAAAAAATTATATACATTGGTAATTATCACGTCTTATTTTTAGTTTATCTACACCAACTTCCTTATATATTAAGTTATGACTTGTACCTCTTCTCAAACCTGATATAATTCCGAGACATTCTAATTGGACTGATTCCAATAAGTCACTTTCACCCTGGGTGCAATTATTCAACACAGCACAAGCATATTCAAGTGTTGGTCTTATAAAAGATTTATAAATTATTTCAAGAGATTTTCTATCTAGCTTGTGTTTGAGCATTCGCATTATTTGTAGTTTTGTACAGCTTGTTCCATATATATAATTAACTTGATCAGACCATGATACACGACTATTAAAAAGCAAATCAAGATGTTTATGATTTTTGACATTTATAACGACACTATTTGAGAATACCAAATCTCGACGAGATGTCTCAAAATTATTTTTATTAGACATTAGTAATGATTCAGTTTTACTTGGATTAAATGATATTCCCCATTTATCAGCCAAGAGAGACATTCTCCTTAAATCCTCTTTAAGAATATCTGCAGCATGTCTGCCATCACCATCTATCAAAACGTAAAGAGAAGTGTCATCAGCAAAGAGTTTGACATGGGATTGGAGTTCATCTTCTAGGTCATTAATAAATATTAAAAATAAATAAGGCCCGAGAACCGAGCCTTGGGGTACACCAGGTTTAATGTTTGTAAATTTGGCTTGTAGCCATCTACTAATACCCTTTGTTGTCTATCAGTAAGATACAACGCAACATCACTGCCCCAATTAAAAACAGAGAAAATTAGGATAATAAGGAACTTAGTTAGTTAACCTTTCGGTTGGGCTTCTGCCGTTAAATTAACTTAATGAATTCATTGAATTTTTATATAGACACATACTTTTCAGATATACGTCTTGTAAACGGGTCAAATGATGATAATGGGCGAGTCGAGGTATACCACAATGATTCTTGGGGTACTATATGTGATGACGGGTGGACAAGTGCTGATTCGAAAGTGGTGTGTCGCCAGCTTGGATATAGGTGAGAAAAAATAAGGTCTTCAGTTCTTGGTCTAAAAGTATCTAAAAACATGGAAAACTTGTTTTGATAAACATCGAGGTATGAACGAACAGCACTTTGTCCACTATATTATAACAACGTCTCAACCAACATTTCTTTACATGGTTTAGTCTGTTTCTATACATGGTTTTGTCTGTTTCTATACATGGTTTTGTCTGTTTCTATACAAATCATTATCTATTATGATGCCAAAGATGAAATTATTGTAAAATATTATGTCGTTCAAATTTCCTCTTAGGTCAAATGTTTCCAAACATACAAACAATGATATTAAATTTATATAATGGAACCAGCGAGACATGAATTATACAACTAAATGATATTTTCTTAATTAGTAATCTAAACTTCTAGAAAAATATGATTCCAGATAATATAGATTTTTATTCTTTTATATTCAGGGACCAGTTGTTCTACAATGTAACTGCAGCTTATGGACAGGGAACTGGGCCTATTTTAATGGATGATGTAAACTGCTCCCTCGGATATATACCGGATAGGATATGGAATTGCAGCTTTAACGGCTGGGGTGTGAATAACTGTAGACACGGCGAAGATATTGGAGTAGCATGTGCAAAAAATTGTAAATACACCATTCATGCATTCGTATTTCAGATTTTATAGGTAGTACGTTATTATGTTACATCATGTTATTAAATGTTCGCTGGTTTTAAAGTTAAACGTTTTGTACTTGTATTACAGTAACAAAAAGAATAGAATTCTGCGTACACCAACAACATTTTTGTTCCACAAGATTTATTATAAACCTGGTTACGAAGTAATATGATAATGATAATAATGATAATTATAAGTAAATAAATATATAAATTCAATTGCAAGTAAATACAGTGTTTCCCCCTCCAGCTGTTCGCTTGGTAAATGGTCACTCAACTTACACAGGACGTGTAGAAATACTACAAAATGGCCGATGGGGAACGATTTGTGATGATGCTTTCGGGGATGAGGAGGCACAAGCTGTTTGTCGTATTTTTGGTAAAAAGTGTGTTTAATATTACTCTAAATATCACTAAATATAAAAAATAAATCACGTTGTTTTTAATTTTGGACCATTCATTTAACTCTCTAATAATTAATTCAATAATAAATATTTGTCAGAAGGAGATATTATGTAAGTCATATGTTTAGAAACCAAATACAACACGAACAGTCCCTTCTCGAATGGGTGTGAACAATAACCTCATAATATTCATACTTTTTTTTGTATCTTATATGTACACAGGTATGGAACAGCAAATGCATATTTCGGTGCTGGCACTGGGGCCATTTACGTTGATGAGTTGGATTGTTCTCCTAGTTATTCAAGTGATATAGACGCACTGCTACTAGGAAGTACTCTATGTTCCTTTAATGGATGGGGTATTAATGATTGTAGTCATTCAGAGGACGTCGGTGTGTGGTGTTTATCGCAAGGTACGTTAGAAATTCTTTGTTCTCTGGGCTATCTATAGTCCATAGACTATTGACAAAGCTTAGCTTGTAATAACATTTGTAATCCAACAATGTATTTGAAATATGATTTATTGTGAGGAATGGTTGTAGATTTTGTACAGTAGTTGTTTACTTTAATGCAAAATTTAAACTTAATATTAATTTGTTCTCTAGTAATTAACTAAAATGAAAGTTTTAAAATCTGTATTAAGAAACATTGGCTTAAAATAGCACACACACCTATCAATGGCGTGTGTTACCCCAACAGATTGGACTGGTCAGGTCGTTAAGCAGTACTGTATACAAATGGTAGTACTCTAGCACACATAACTGATTCGCAGTAAATAAGCTCCGGCTTGAAAACGAATTCAATATGTATTTCTCTGGGGTATTACCATTGATTCTTTGCGATTGTAAGATTTGTATTGATTGATGGATATGGCATTGCTTGTTTGCGGATTAAATTATGTTTTAATTGATTATTTAATTGATTGATTGATCATAGTACAGTAACCGTATGCAAAGGTCTGAATCGATACTTCGTTTTTAATTATAAATGAGTAGTCTTATACACATATATCTATCGATGAACATCTATGGTTGATCTATTGATATATTTAGCAAATACTTCAATTTGATTGAGATCTAATGAAACGGTATCGAATAATTTTGCAAATGATTGTATATTCTGTTATTATGTAGATACCTTTATCCACGCCGCCTATCAGTGCGTAGCTTATGACAGATTAATTCTTATCGAAAATGTCCGACTTTAAAACAAACTTAAAATAATAAAATTATTTCATATATATCAGCAGCTGTCTAATCTAATTTTGTGGTATTACCAGTTCATACTCCAGTCCAGTGTTGACATTTGAAACTGATTACATTCGTGACAGTGTTCCTCATTGACTTCTTAAGTGACTCACCAGTTATATTTGATAGCTTGTTTAATACTTTAAATGTTGCTCTACAACAGGTATCCAACACTATGCTGTTCTGGACAGCGATATTGTGCCTATGTAGAACGATATTCTACAAGAAATTTAGATGTACAAAACTTGTGTAAATGCAACAATAAACACATTGGTGCAAATTTGTTCACGGAGTTAAAAATCGAAGATGCTTATTGCTTTATTTGCCAGTAAAAGTGATCAATGAAACTGTAATATACACTGTATATAGCAGATGGGGTGACAGATACTTCACTCAGTGAGAGTTACGGAGCCATTTCACTGCAGGTACAGCAATAGGTGACCCTGTTTCGTCAATGTAGCAAAGTTTCCCGTTGTTTTGCGAAGACTCGATCAATTCTTTCCGGCACAGCGACACCTCCTTAATTTATTTTTGTCGTCTTTTCTACAAAACGGCGATTGTGTATCAGACTATTCATAAATAATTTCATTTAGCGGTTAAAATAGAGACGGATGGTAAATTTCTTTAAACAGGTTTGAAGAAGAGAAATATATTTTCTAATTCTGATTAGCGCCATCCGTCAAAATTTGTATCATTTACAAAACTAAACACTGTATTTGAATGAAAGTAACATTTACATTAATTACCCTATCTAGAGCAGATGGTGCTAGGTCGCCCCTGACGATAACGGAGTACAACATTGTCATAAAAATAAATATTCTAAATAGACTGTCAGTATACCTGGACAAGTGTACACTTTTAACTTAATGAAGTGTTAAAACTAGACGAATGTAAATCTATCAAACAAATATACATACACTTAAAAGCAATAAGCATAGGTTTGTTTTATAATTACACAGGAATATGTAATAGATTGAAGCAAAAACAACTATGTTATTGTGGAACTGGATTCAGCAGTTTTAAGCACTCCAGTATTATGCGTAGAGAACTCCAAGTCCTTTGTTTTTATAATATTAAAAATTTGATATATACAAATGTATAGAAAACTTTTGTTAAATTGATATATGGTGGTGATTGACTGCAATGTACAAACCGTGAAATACCATTTATCGGTGTCTGTCAACACATTATGTGTTTTCACAATCTAGCTCTACAGTAATTTAAGATTTTGAATGAATTAGGAGCACCTCTTATTACAAGAATTTGTATTCAAATAGAAAATATACTTTGTTTGCACTTTTTGTAAGAAATACGCCTGGTGACTGAACATTTAAGCAGACAAGGTCGGGTAGAGATTAATTATGCCGAGACCTGGGGAACCATTTGTGCTGACGACTGGGATATCGTGGCGTCCACTCTTGTTTGTAGAATACTCGGTTATAGGTAAATTAATTCATTATATCTTATGACAACTTTTTATACCATGTCTGATTTGTAACAATGATTACTTTTGTTTATCACCCTTTGTTGTTCTCATGAACTTATTTACATTGCAGACATAGCATATTGTAATAATACAATACATATGTGCAATAAGCTGACACTGTTCTACTACATGAACCTAACAATATCCACATTTTTGAACATGTGGCGTTTGGCTATCGTTCTTATATTCATATGTTAATCTGAGTGTGTTATTTGCATCGTAGGAATATTTTAGAATAATCATGCATGTATCAGTCTATTGCAACGAGGAACCAAAGTCTAATTCCCGACAGGTCAATTTATAGAGAAAATAGGTACCAGTTAGTAATAATAATTATAACAATATACAGCATTCGATATAGCGCCCTATCTAGCTAACATAAGCCACTCTAAAGCGCTTTACAGTACATAGATATACAATTAATACAATTAGGATATACAATTTTGAGGAATTCGCAGGAGCTGCCTTATCAGGCGCTAACTACTAGTCCTATGCCACCTGGCTAATATCTCCCTATGGTTGTATGCCTGCGTGTGTGCTGGAGATGTATTGTGTTCTGTTTGTAGTAGTAACATATGTTTATTATAACAAAGGGCATTCGAAATAATTCGTGTTGAAGCATGGCAAGTTAGCTTGAAATCCTCTTTTAATTAAATACATCCTACAGACCTGCAAAAATAAAACATTTTATCCTAATAATCTATAAAGAAGGGAAAAAAATAATTTATTAAGTATAAGTCAATAGAGGAATTCAAATATTGCATTAACATAAGTTAGGCCGCTTCCGGTCTTCATTTCATATTTTAATTGAACATTATACCACTTTCGTAATATAATAAATCCAACATAATGGATGCACGAGGTCTCAGCATTTTCATCGACGATGAACTTCTTTCTAACTCGAAAGAATTTGTTCTCGATTCTCACTGCTTCGATATGATGTGAATTTCATGAACTATATATGTCTTCTGATTGTTGCCAGAGGTGGAATTCCGTTCCGTCCTGTACCAGGAAGTGGGCGTATTTGGCTCGATAACGTTCGGTGTTTAACCTCAAACACTGATATTGCGGAATGCAGACGTAATAACTGGGGGAACCATAACTGTGACCATTACAAGGACGCTGGAGTTTGGTGTGCAAGAAAATGTGAGTAAATTATCTTGATTCGACAGATCAATGTGATATATCACGTGTCCCTTTAGCAAGTACTTCATACCTTTTGTTATTGGAAAATGTATTGATTTTAAATACTAGCAATAAAATCATTTACAGTATATTCTCTCATATTCCGATGTAAGTTACTTTTTTTTTTAGCAAAATTCTTATATTTCAAATACTCAAGAAAAACTACAACAATCTTTAATGGAGGTAGACACTAGTCGTTTAATGGTTTTACTGATATTTGGAGTAAAGGAAAGTTATATTAGGAAATCCACATTCCGGAATGTTGAAATATCGACTTTAATATTAAGTTACACGTTGTTCTATATACATAAGCCATGTTTGCAATAGGTAATCGGAAAATGCTATTTTTAGTAATTGTACGAGATATGCCTCCTCCTATCTTAAATAAACACGAAAACTACGTTAAACATATTGATTGTCTATTACAGTTGGTAGTGTATCGTATCATAGCAAATTCATATTTATATAATGCCTCAAAGCTTAAAATGACTTACTGGTACAGTGTATCAATGCCAAAATTGATATTTTGCATCATTCGAAACAAAATATAGAAATAAACATTTATGAAATAGTTTTACTGTGATGTCTTCACAGCTTGCTATTTATTTTCAGCCTATCAAAGGTAATAACCTTTGATAGATCATACCTTTTTCTTCTCCTTTCAAAAATATAACTTCAGAACTTGTACATTTGTTTATACGAAACAAACTGTTTCAGCATACGATGTTGTACTAGCTGATGGATCAGACCATTCCGGGCGGGTAAACATATATTACGGTGATTCATTTAGAACTCTTTGTTATGGATATTTGGACACACGAAACGCTGACGTGTTATGCAGATTAGTTGGGTACAGGTAAGAATAGGAATGTGAAGTAACATTTATCACATAATGTACTGTGTTTTCCAGTGAATATACCCATTTCATATTATTATGCGTATGAACCCATGTAATATGACCTATCAGCCCTGTGATTGGTTGTAAGTTTCAATTGTTTCAATTGTGACGTCACGCCTAGGGCAAATACATGACGTCACAGACTTACGCATTGGAGTCAAAATGGCGGCTTTTTACATTTCAAGGCTTCATGAAAATAGTTGTTTTATACGAGTTTATGCCACAAATCTTGATTATGTGATGAAAAGGATCTTACACTCGTTTTTATTTCAAATGAAATTTATGAAACTCGTCATGAATTATTCAATTTAGCGAGCCAGAGGCTCGCTAAATTGAAATATTCGTAGACTCGTTTCATAAATCTCATATGAAATAGAAATTCATGTAAGATCCTATATATATGCTTTATTAGATAGAGTACTAGTTTAGCTTGCTTCCTCATCTCGGTCAGTGCAACCAGTTCACTCATACACGGCCTCCAACTGTTTATTTCTGCATATGATAAAATAAAATACATATTCCATATGCAACGATCATGAAGGATTCGTGTACCGTACATATTTAAAAATCTTCCCTATATTTCTCATGCAATTCCTAACTAGAAATTGCATAATCTAACTGTTTAACATAGTTTGGTCTTGCTTTATATTGTTTTACGGCCATTCTACAATGTAAGTCATTTTGGGCCAAATAAATAGAAACTTGATATTTTGTCATCTGACATTCTAAAATGCTACATTGATTGTACGTTATTCAATGAAAAATTTACGTCCTTGGTTTTACATTTTTTTTTTCTCTGGAAGAATATCAAAATACAGTCGAGAACTATTATCGCTTTATGAAAATATAAATTTACATATATGTAAAAGAAAAGAAGTTAAAAAAAAGATAAATATCTATGTCAACTAATCTTGTCTATTTTAGTAATCTTTTGATAATCATGCCTTTTTCTGCTTTTTTTGAAATATTTACGCTAAGAACTTGTTCGTTTGTAATTTATCAATTGCTACTTCAAGCTTATGCTATTGACACTATGCTGGTTGTCACGTTCGTTTTTAGCATGAATCCCGATAGAGACTTGATATATGTTTAAAGAAGGAACAAGGCAAAATCTACACATGTGAAACTTGCATAAAACAATTCGCAACATATGCTGTCAGAACTGACATATCTATTTATGGTACAAAGAGACAATTGTTTCTCAATTCTATTTTGAACTTACAGGACCATTTGCTCTTCTAAGAAGAACTGATTTTGATCGAAATCAAGTTTATCTATTGGTCATTATTTCTATTTTGTATTACAAGGTATGGTGGTAAGATATTCAAGAATCCTAACTACGTCGAAACGACCAGATCCTCTCTGAGGAACTTAAGATGTGAAGGAACAGAAGCCAGTCTCAGTTTGTGTAACGGTACATGGGGATCCTATAACTGCCCGGAGGGAAATGACATATGGATAGACTGCATCACATGTAAGTTCTTTCTTTAAATTCTGATCGACGAATTACAGGCATGTACTGGCGTAAAGATGATAAAAATACCATTCATTCTTCGTAAAACAACAATCAAATAAATAAGATAAACAGTCTCAACAATCAACAGCGTAACTTTCATTGCAATTGAAAATTATACTTAAAACTTAAATGAAAAAAACAATCTTCCAAAACGCAATCATCTATTAATAACCCAATTGCACAGGACAAAACTATATGGCTTATGCCAATAATAACAAAAGTATTGCTATAACCGCTGTAATATAAACTGAATTTATTTTACAACAATTCTGAATTTATTTCAACATCTTGATGACCTTGGTGTAAGAGCTCGCGTTTGTGTGTGTTAGTGTGTAGGTGAGGGGGTTGGTGTGTTGTCATTTGGGACCTTTTCACGTCCGATCGGGGAATCGAACCCTGGCCGCTTTGATGAAAATCGAGTGCATTATCCAATGTGCTAAAACTGTTATCAATGCATTTAAATAATGTGATTATAAATAACGAGATGTCACTACTGTTTGTATTAATATTCCATGCTATTGGACTAGTAAATGTTAATTAAAAAAGCACAAACATCTTTATAAAGTCATGCATTACACGTGCTCGTGATGACTCACTCAAAAGTTACTGGTCATACTTTTTTATTATCAGTGTTTTTCATTCATCAAATATTACTATTGTTACATATATTGCAAATCTTTACGCAGCTTGTGATGAAAGACAATTTGGACATTTATGCAACGAGCAATGCCATTGTAAGGTACCCGGATGTGACATTGATTCCGGAAGATGCAGAAGAGGGGGTTGCTTGCTAGGGTGGCATGGGCTATCTTGCTCTCAAGGTAATAGTACTCGCCATTTCATGTAGATGAGATTGTTTCTTTATTCATGTAACACTTCCATGCTTAGAAACCACCGTTCTATACGTACTGTTTTCCATTGTATCTTGATAGATAATATAATTGAACCACTGTACGTTTTTGAAAAAATTAAAACAAAATGATAACATTTATATAAATACTCAAAAATAACAAACATTTTTAATGTTTTGCCAGAAAAATGAACTATTTAAAAAGGAATAATAAATAAACTAATACACATCTAATACATGTAACTATTAACTATTTGTTTCACATAACACATACTGCTTTCATTATCTAGAGACGATATGCTAATCTTGTCTTTCGAATTCGCGATTTCATATTTACAGGAGTTACTGTCCCTTTCGACAGTGCATAACTTAATTAACAGTTTGTATTTAAAATACTGTTTTGAAATTTGGTTACTTCTTTATCATTAAAATATGAAACCTTGACACGGACATTGTTTTTCATAGAATCATCGATCGCAAATTTTGCAAAATTGTTCGGTGTGAAGTATAGAGGTATGCAGTACAAGTTTCATATAAAAGAGTTGTCTCTTTTTGCATAGCATGAAAAACTACCACTTTTTCCTGGTCCTGTATCGTTTAAATTGAATTCGGAAACTTCACAAGAGTCACTATAGGAACAAAGTATTATGGCTGAATCGTCTAGTTGCTCAATCAAGCCTTTATACAGTCCCCTTACTGCCATAGCCATTAAAATTCTATTATTATTGAAAGCACGATCAGATCTGTTCATTAAAGATTCGTGGGTTTTCCACACAAACACAGAGATCAGTTTTGAACTACGATGGAAATTGGGCCAAAACAGCCAAAACCTTTGATAACTGATAAATCGGTACCGTCGTCATTACTTTAGAATCGAGTGTAATTCGTGTATGTTTGCATCAACAAAACAAAATCAAACATTTTGCGACTAAATTATTAAGAGCAAGTATTTTATACAATAGAATGCGAGAACGGAACATTTGGCCAAGCTTGTATACAAAGCTGTCACTGTAAAACTCCTGGCTGTGATCATGTGACCGGAAACTGTAATGACCAGGATGAAGGATGTGAAGATGGCTGGACAGGGTCGTCATGTGATAAAGGTAAATCAATGTCTCATTTCCTGTTGATGTGTCAAAGCAAACCTCGAGGTGTCGGAATTTGCAAAGAACTTTGAACGGAGGACACTATACAATCCTACCTACAAGTTAGGCATTTAAGTATGTGAGGATTCCCTTGAATGTTTTTGTTTTTCCAATGTTATTTTGAATGAATATTTTATGGTACAAAATTGTTTTCATAAATTCACTTAAGCTGCATTCACAAAAAGGTTTCTCAGATTCGGAATTGTATATTCATGTAGGGTATATTTCGTTTTAACGTTTGCGTATGGTCGTTTTAATGTACATACTATATGTATGTTGAATAAGCTTAAACATGTGTGGTATGCAGTCTTATGTACATACTATATGTATTTTGAATAAGCTTAAACATGTGTGGTATGCAGTCTTAATTGAACATGTAATGTTTAAATAAGTATAAGTAATGTCTTTGATTTACTCTTGCAATTCTCCGTCAATTCCTGTTCATTTGATGCTAAAAATATCTAATGTACTCTTTCAAATGTTAAGATAAATAATTGAAGCTGAGGATATGAATATGCTATTAGCGACCATAAATGCATGTGATTTCAAATGTCGAAATATAATGACGTATTGCAAATCACCTTTATTTCACAAAAAGATATATTCTTGCTTTAATTCACGATGAGGAATAATCGCATCACTGTTCTTTTTTGAAAATTCAAATATTGGCGAAAATATCAAATACTGGCGAAAATGTGTCTTGATGAACAATTCTGAAAATACTTTTCGCGACATTTAATGATTTACAAATTTACAGAATGTGGTTTGGGATCGTTCGGTACTAACTGCATAGAAAATTGTCACTGCCTGGTACCCGGATGTGATCATTCAACTGGTGTCTGTAACACATGTGACTGTCAATCAGGATGGACAGGACACTCTTGTAACATAAGTGAGTAAACTTTGCATTTCTGTTATATTTAAACAGTTGTCGCAAAATTGTGCTGTCAATTTACATAAATTTTCAAGACAGCATGCTTCTAACAATCCTATCAATTCTATTTATTGTATGCTCTCATCATTCATATTNTTCCTGTGGCAAAAGTAAATCTAGTTGAATAAATACATATGTTTTTCTCTCAAAAATGTTAAAACTCTATTTTCCTTGTCGGTTTTTGTTTTTTCGATCTGAAGGTACCCTAGTTGAACAACAAGGAAATATTTCAGACGAGTCAAGTATTGGTACCATTAGCATCGCCGTAGTTTTCAGCGCGTTACTGGTTGCTTCTGTCACATTCAATATTTGGCTTTACGTCACAAATAAAAGGTGAGAAGTATGAAAAGGTACAAATATCGAATTAAACCTCACGGGACCTAGATGATATTTTGACTCATGTTTAGTTAACATCACTTCCTAGAAACATGTATTTAATATACCATTAAAACGTTTTTTATTTTTGCTTAATAGACTTAAAAAATCCATTATTGATATACATGTATGTTTATTTTTTCCCCATTTAATTTCGGTAATTGCTATAATTTAATTAGCAAGGTTGAAAAACTGGTGAGATAAAACGTGAAAATGATATGATGCTTTTCCGAAACATTTTACGAACTGTCATAATATATTTAATTTGACCACAAACAGCGTCACGAGTATGTATCATCACACTGTAATGAGTTGCATTTTAGATAGGCAGGATCCAATATATATGAAATATGTTTGATTTGTCTTTTTCTCAGAAACAGTTTTATGTATATTTTTGAGCATTTGTCGTGTTTGTAAATATTGATTTCTTCATTTGAATACTGTTTTCTTCTACAACACAAAGAATAAAGGCGAGCAACATGGACAAAGACCAGTGTTATCAAAATGTGCCACGTCAGCAATTAGAATCAACAGTGATGTCACAACCAGAATATGAAGACTTGCAAGTAATGGGTGCGACAATTACGGCATATGAAAACGTTAGTTTCGAAAGTAAGTATACAATAACAGTAAAATAATACAATGTAATACATTAAATGACAAAATGTTTTTTATCTTAAAAAATAATACATAAAACTAACATAATGTGACGTTAGAGGCATACATTCACCAAATCTCTCTTAAGTTTCTCTTAATCAGATGATCTGTTTGGCTTGTTTGGAGCAAAGCTATAAAATTGTTCAGATGTTCGGTTCATTTTTATGGCTTAGACTGATATGTAAGAAAGAGAATGTAAGAAGAGACTGAAAGAAGACGTGGAATGACTGGTGTATATTTTCTATTGTTTGTTAATGAAACACTTCATTGACATTGATGCAAACGACATTACTTATATACGTTTATGTCATATTCCAATTGTTATAGTTTAAATTAATTATGGACTTCTATCAATATAAGAGCAAGATATCAGTTGCTAGATCATCAATGATTATTTTCGATGTCCATCAATATGATATTTTATATGCAGAAGTCTTTGAATAAAAGAGTTTATTATGAGATAATAACAACCTTAACAACTCACAAAACTTCAATATACCGACGTGGCTCTAGTTACTAAATATACTTAATTTAGTATCAGTGAACAGTAGTAGTTCTATAGAACGAAAAGTGGATTGTGTATACAATAATAATGAATATAACATCATATATTCTATGAATGAGACAATCTCTCCCCTGCCCCAACCTAAATTTGTATTATTAGACAATTTTGTTAAAACCTGCATGTGTTACCTTTCAACAGGTGGATATGACACCATGGAAATACAAACGTCTAGAGGACGTGACAAGGCGGCACACAAGTGAACATGGATTTTGAAGAGAGGACACATGTAGAAAATGCCCAGAAACGGTGACACAAATGAACAAATCTTGTCGAGATGTTACACAAACAATGAACCTCTTAACATGACAGGAAAATCTTCATATTCAGTTCTTTTATAAGCAGTCTTTTTAAGACACACTGCGTATATAATTTTCCGAGATGTGTGTGCTGTATATAGACATTATGTTATCGATACTAATTCATCATATCTTTGAATATCAGAACACTGCATATATACTATACATAAGATATCCAGTGTGAAGGGTGAACTTTACATATTTTACCGACGAAGTGGAAAGTTTTCTATACGTAATGTAACCTGTTATTCTTTTTGTTTTAAACATGTGTTCATTTCTCCTGCGAAAGATAAAAAATAAACCATCATATCAGGTATCAGTATACAGTAGAAATGGCCCGACTCTGATAAACAAGGCACATGCCGAGGAAATGTAAACACAGCGGATTTACCCTACACAACACATGTATACATATATATATATTTGTAAACTGCATTACATTTACAATACATATAAAGTACTGAGAAGTGTATCCACCTCTTTTTTTCTATGTATGTCACTTGTGTGAAAACCATGGTTACCACATCAAAAATTACCAAAAAATGCCAAAAATTGCTTTTTTGACCCAACATTTGACCCCCGCAACTAGTAATTTTTTCCCAAGTTCTGTCTGAAATTAAAGATTACCTACCTGGTTGCAGAATTATCTGGGTCCCAGTAAAGTTGTAAAACTTGATTTTTTGCAATTTTGCGTCGTGTGCTGTTGTCAAAATGTTACCCCCAGTAAAGCTAGCTTTTCATGTGTAGGCACCCTTTCGGATTATGGCCAAAATTTTATTCTCGAACCAAAAAAATATTCTCTTTTTTTTTACAAATGTGAAGCTCACATAGCCCACTTCATCATGCTTATACCAATTTTAGTACAGTTTTATTTTTTATATTTTTTTTGCATATCATTATACAGGGGTTAGCCATTTAACAAAAATATCACCCATGGCCACAACCCTCTACTGTATACTGCTACCTCAATATAAGGCAAATGAGAATACTTTCAAAACGAGGTAACCATATGTGTTCATTAAAAGACATGATGAAGCGTACACATGCATACACAGGTCACTCGTGCATAAATGATCACAAATAGAGGCAATACTCATCATTGCATTTCATTTCTGAAAACAAGAAGTTTATCAAAAGGTTACCCACTTCAATATATGTAAACAATCAATTTAATGAGACAGTCTCAATAGTCTTTAATATGTAACCAGGCAGCTTTAATATGTAACCAGGCAGCTTTAATATGTAACCAGGCAGCTTCAATGATTGCACTGTCATTAGAAAAAAATATATAAACATCATAATCATATGTAACACAACAGCATTAATGTGCTTTTTATACATTTTGGAATTTACCAAAACTCTTTTAATCACGTGACAGGACAGTGAGTTTGATTAGATTTGTGAATTCTTTCAATAAGTACTGTATACCTGAATACTTTCGCCCCGTTAACCTTTCGCCCTTTACCGACAGAGTCCTTTTTCGCCCAGGGTTAAATTCGCCCTACATCGCCAACAGTGGGAATTCCCCGTTACGGCCTCTCTGTCGAACACTTATTATTCATGTAAATTGTCAAGCCTTTATCATGAAACACAAGGTTGCATCACACACACTTGACCCCAATTGCAACACATACGGTACGTAAGTTAAGCCTCAGTGTACACGAAATAGTGATAAAACATGTGCCGTCGTATACATATTTTTTTTAACTTTCGTCGTCATGTTAAATTCGCCCTCAGATCGGAAGGCGAAAGGGGCGAAAGTTAAACTGCGGCGATAGTTTCCCGGTATACAGTATATATAAACATCTTTGGCTGGTACATTCTATAATCAAATGATAATTATTGAAATGGTATATTATTATATTTAAAATAAATAACTATCACACACTATGTAACTGTGCATAACATGCGATAAAATGCACTATGAAGATATATAATTATTGCATATATATCGAATACAAATGAAACTGGTCATCAGAGAAAAATATTCGAAAGAATTCACCTTCTTTGACAAAATTCTGGGTATTTAGACGACAGCACAGACATAGAATAGTCTATGGAGTAGACACAGTAGTGTTGGAGAATGGGACATATATTTTGTGCGAACTGATTATCTAAACTTACGAGTATCTTTTCATAATGTAATTACACTTTTATACATAATATTGTTTTATACGGATAACTTTCATATATGACAGATATTTATTGTGCATGTACGCTTTCTACACTATATTTGAGATACATTTCAACATTTATTATTAGCAAAACAAAATTGTCTAACCGATATATCAAGACAAGTCATTCTATTGGTGTAGATAGCATCAACCATTCAGAACAGCTGTTTTCTGTGAAGTGTACGATGTCTGTTATTTCCTTTTGTTTTGTTTTAATAACCACATAAATGCAAATCATCTCAGTGAGCATGATCATCAAGGTTTTGAAGGGAAAATTAAGTTTCTGTGTGTTGGGGTGTTATAGTCCCAAATATGTCATGCTATTTTGATGGCTACTTGGTTTATTTTGCTCTCATGCCAATCGATCTATCGATTTCGAGCTAAGTGAATGTGAAAGTTGAAAATGATACTCAAGGATAACTTATTATAGTAATACTGTATTTACCATAACTCTACATAACTTACAAACAAAACCTTTGGAAACATTTCATGACACTTCGTGAAACTAACTCCCAAGCTTTACTATGATGTAAATAAGGAACAAACCAAGACAAATAGCTATTGAATCTATAGAGAGAAAAAAATCGCCTTTTACGCGTTTTCCCTTTGGGTTCAATATTGTATAAAAACATTTCCTTCGTGGTTTTACATTCATAATGTCATATTCTGTACAGATTGTCGAAAAATCTTTATCGAAATTATTTAGAGTCATAGGGCACTTTTTACCTATTAGTAGATTGGTAACTAAACTGTCCTAACACAGCTTACCTAACGGAACTAAATCACTCGTTTGTTTGATCAGAGTGTTAGCTCTGGATTTCAATTCCTAATTCCCCAAAGGAGATAAAAACGTTTGTGTATCACAGGAGGGTATTCATGTACATTATATCATCGTGAACCTAACACCAGGAATTGATCCTAAAGAATGATTGATGGGTAAAGCACTTAAACCTTGACGCAGTTTTAACGTACGTCTGGGTGTGTGCTTATACTTGTAATTGGTGTTTTTTAATATGCTTACACTAGATAAATAATTAAATGGTTAATAAAATGATTGTTTATAAATATGCCTTTTAAACAATTAAATTGTATGTTCACTATAAGAATGAACTTATCATACAACAATGAATGATATCGTCGGAAGGGCAGATTTTGACGTCAGGAAGCTAACATAAAAATTCCAAATTTCAAACATCATAAAATCCCGGTTTTATTGTTCATTTTATTTTAATTAAGATTTTTTCCAGGTGATGTAATGGAAATCGATCACTTTTAGTAACCACAGAACATTGCCTCTTTTTCTCGTTTATATTTAAATGGTACAAAAGTGGTTTAACTTTTTTCTTTGATGTTAACATTGATATTTCGAAGTATTCACGAGATATTTCTATTCTGAGGGACACCTGATAACAAGGAAGTATAATTGTCATTCTTCGTCAGCAAGTACATATGATCACAATACATAAGTCGGTGTTTGATCTGTTAACAGGTAAACATGCAAATAATCATAATGATTGTACTTGAACTACAATCTTAATTTATTGTTGCTCTTGTATAGTAGAATCACAGTTTATTTGCTGTTTATGTAGTTGAAAACTTTAGCTTGGTGTCATTGCATAATGTTTATTTTGATAGTCAGACTACCCTAGCGTAATATCATTTTTCAGCAATGTATTAACCTATGGATTGGTAAAGTATCCAAAGGGGTACTCTAAAAGAAGATTTAAATCAAAAAACCTTCATTTACACATAGTTTTCCTGGATCATTAAAAAGAGATCGAATGAATACAGGAAGTTCTTGCACAGAATAATGAATATAGACTTGGAAACAACTTGTTTAAATAATAAAGGTTTTGAAATGAGCAAATGTACAGCTAAGGTAAATTCTGTATTATTTTAAACATGTCAAGTATGATCACCTATAGAATCAGGCTATTGTTCAGAACAATATTCGAGTGAAATTATACTTTGTCAAGTAGATCAGAAAATGATTAAGTAAGTAAACAACTAAACAAACAAACAGATGATGAAACAAATACAAAGATCACTAAATAAATAACTAAATCAATAAATAACTGATCACTTTGTTATTAAACAGGGATTCTCCATGGATACAAAACCGTTAATTAAACAACAAAAGTTTGTCTCAATCATATTAAACGTTTAATTGTTCAGAGAGGCAACGGAAGTACTGTTATCCTATGTTTATCGTTTTACCTCATTTAACACATCTTTCTGTAATATACAGAAAAAAAAGATAAAACTTCCATGTATTTCCTGATGGATAAATCGCTGCAGCCAAACAACACCACTTGCGTCTGCTGCGTCAGTGATACCAAAACGTGACACTTTTGGGAAAAGGGTCCACGAAAATAGCATGCAACTCAAACAAGTATTCATTATGTTTTTTTTTTACTGCATGTTTATATTATATCAGTTACACTATATATCGTCTTTATGGACTGTGAATTATGGTTATATGGACAGTTTAAGGTAAGAAATCATCATGAACAATTTTCATTTAACCTCCTGCTCTTGGTTTGGATATGCAGAAGCTGATACACTTCAAAAATAATGTTTGTTTGGAGATGAAATGTAATCAGACTTACCCATGATTCTTAAATATTTGGACCATGTGAAACTTTCTGCTTATACTGATTGTTTCTCCCCAACATCAACATAATGCTGAAGTGATTTTTTGGGTAAAGCTGTACCTTTTTAGAGCTTCTGGACTCTAATACTCTCTTGCGTTCTATTTACAGATTTATGTGCCAGAAATATCAACTTCAATATGACGTTAACAGTTTGACCGGTTTCGCATTTCACAGGTTAGACAGATGTAACAACAGGAGCCGATAATTAGGAAATTAAAGAGTTCATAAAAAAGTACAGAAACATCTATGTATCGTAAAATATTAGGTATCATTCTACAGCAAGACTTTGGTCAAAAGTTCGAATGAGGTCAAATCTTATAATCTGGTTAAAGTCGTGCCTTGATTGACATGTAGAATGTTGCAGAGGTAGTTAGTGCAGGAAGGCACATACATTGGCCGATAGTTGATAAGCAACAGAGAAGAGAAAAATGAGAAGTGCTCATGAATACGTTATGCCCTGATGTTTGTTTAAAGTACTCGCAGTAAGTTTTATAGGGAGAATCTAGAGTTGAGAGTCGGAAGTCTTGTTTCAGGAATGTGAGCCTCTGGGGAGAGACGCAAGGGATGGCTCATGTAAAGCACTTTGCTTGTAGAGTAGTTGGCGTGCTCTAAATGTATGCTTAAATAACACATTTAGGAATGATCTTGTAGAGAGGGAGAGAGAGTCGATCTAATCCAGGATATTATTACTACCTCTGTCTGTCGCAGCCACAATGTCTAGTTGTAATAAAAGAAACTCTATTAGTCCACAACGTTCTTTTCAGCATGTTTTGTATCACAAGTATTGACAGTTTATGGAAAAATGACGGAAGAGGTAATGTTATGTTTCTTACAAGAGAGCAAAGCCTTCCAAAGGACATAACACGAGATTTACATTTCGTCGCCATTCCTTACCACAAGTGTTATTAGACAACAGTTATATTGATTAATCCATTAGAAAATGTACCAAATTATGTAGGTTCATTACTTTATTTGTATATATTTGCACTGAGTAGCTCAAAAACCACCTACTTGCAGTATAGACAATAGGGATCTTTAGTGGAAGTGACTGATACAAACCCCTGTAAACGACACATAATTTGGTGGTAGCGTCGGGATCCTTATTGTCTATATTTAATTCATTTGAGCACGCAATGTGTAAGTAATACCAAGTACTGTAATTGTATTAGATTGAAATATCGTTGAAAAAAATTTGTTTGTCTGATGAAGAGGCATCTTACATTGATTGGAGGAATTGGCGGAAGTAACTAATTGAACAAAGTAAACTAGGAATGCACACCGAGACAAAACTTGTCGAAGGGGAGCGGTCATTATCGAGATTCAGGCATTGAGCCCAAACGTCAATCTGAAGAAATCGTTATAGAGGAAATGGACATTGCTAATTCATATAGCAGTATGACTGAAAATCACGAAGATGTATCATCTCCCGAGATTACAGATAAGGGGATAGTAGAGCTTCAATAGCAATTATGCAAACTAGATGCTCAAATTCATTCAGAGTCTGAGAGCAAGTGCCAGCAAGTCCTTGATAAAAGATTCATACAGAAGTCTCAGCCCAGATACCAGAACCAAGCAAGATACAAGTCCAAGAGTGAGGCTCTCCGATAATACTTCTTCCCGTCGTTTTGATCATGATAAGGAGAAAGATGGAATATTTGATAATGCTACCACAAGCGGTACATGTAAAGGTGAACAAAGAAGATCAGCTCGGATTAACCATAGAAATGAGAGGGACGACTTATTAGACAACGGTTCTGCTTGGGAGAAGAGAAAAACCTGGAAAAGTTCAGCTTTAGATCTAAGCGATAGTGATAACGATGACCGGGTACCAGAAAGAAAGCACAAAGAAGAATTTATTTCTGTAAATCTCCAACTTATGATGGCACTACTCCATGGAGAGACTACCAATCTCATTTTGAGGCATGTACCCAGATTAATCGCTGGTCAGAACGTGAGATGGGCCTATACCTAGCAGTGAGTTTGAGGGGCCAAACTCAGAGTATTCTTGGGGATTTACCTGCCAGGAAGTAAGAACATTATTTCTCATTAGTAAGACATCTCTAAGAAAGGTTTGCCCCACCTAATCAAACTGAGCTGTATCGAGTTCAGTTACTTGAGAGGAGACAGAGAGCTAACGAGACTCTCTGTCTGAATTAGGTCAGGCTATACGAAGAATAGTTAATCTGACCTACCCCCTGTTAAGGTTAGTGTAAGAGAACATCGGCCAAACAGCAATTTCTTGAGTCATTAGCTGACTCGGGTATGCGTATTTGTATAAAGCAAGCCATGCCTGAGAACCTTAAAGAGGCGATTCATCTGGCGGTAGAGCTGGAAGCTTACAAGAAAGCAGAAAAACGTGGAGATGAGGGTCGTTCCTGAGAACAACAAGTACTGAGAGTACTGAAAGCACAAAAGGGGTTGAGAAAACTGAAATGGAATCAATATTGAGTAATATCCAGCAGACACTGGAAATGATGCAGACAGATATCAGCAAGCTAAAAGCTGCAAAGAAAAGTCAAAATTAACCAGTCGGCCAAGGAAAAGATGTGAAGAAGACGAGCACTGGCAAACGTTGCTATAAATGTAACGAGACTGGATATTTATGTACGGACTGTCCTCAGCTGAAGACTGAATCCAATCAAACCTAAACTGGAGCAGCCAACCAAGTGAAAACTCGAACTAGGAGGCGGAATCATAACAAATTCGCAGGAATTGGTATTTCATCAGCAGCCCAAGAAGCTGGGTTGTATATCAAAGCTGAAGTACAGAATACTAAAGTGAAGCTGTTGGTTGATACAGGAGCTACTGTAACTATATTGGCAACAGAGGTATATTAGAGAATCCCAGCAGAGAGAAAACCTTCACTACAGAAGGTTAAAAAGGACACAATGGCCGCTAACGGAAGTGAGTTGGAAGTCCTTGGGTGTGGAGCATTCAAACCAGAGGGGTGCAAGGATGTCTACTTTGAGTGTGTTGTAGCCAATATCAGCACTGATGGTCTTCTTGGCCTAGAATTCATGAAATGGAGGAATTGAATGAAATTGAAGAGGGGATCGTTAGTACTGGACGATGATGAAATTGACACTAAATAAGAAAGTACACTTGGTTGCTTTCGAGTTTCAGCTGCCGAGAAAGTCACCATTCCAGGTAAAAGTGAGATGATAGTTATTGTTCGAGCTAGTCCTGTTCTTGGACGTACAAATGTCATAAAGATAGAAACAAGTGATGCTAAACCTATCAAACGACCACTCAGAAGGGTACCAGCACAAGTGAGTGAGGAGGTCGATAGACAGGTAAAAGATATGCTTCGCCACGAAGTGATTCAAAAGTCTACTAGTACCTGGTCTTCGGGCATTGTTCTAGTTCAAAAGAGGGATGAAAGTCTGAGATTTTGCGTTGATTATAGATGTCTGAAAGCAGTGAGTAATATTGATGCCTATCCGTTTCCACGGATCGATGAGGCATTGGACCACCTGTCAGGGTGTACATAGTTTTCTACACTTAACCTTAAGGCAGGGAATTGACAAGTTTAGCTGGAAAATGAAGATCGTCTGAAAACTGCCTTTTCAACCAGGACGGGCCTCTATGAGTCTCAGGTGATGCCATTTGGGTTGACATCTGCCCCAGCCACCTTTGAGCGGCTTATGGAGACAGTACTGGCTGGATTACAATGGAATATTTGTCTCATCTATCTTGATGATGTAATTGTGATAGGAAAGAATTTTGAGGACATGCTACAAAACCTGTCAACTGTGTTCGACAGACTTCTTGCTGCTGGTCTGAAGCTTAAGACAAAGAAATGCCAACTGTTTGCTAAAGAAGTGACCTATCTTGGGCATGTGATTTCCGAGAAGCGGATAGCTACAAATGGTGAAAAGGTGAAGATAGTGAAGCAGTGGCCTGTACCAATCAACCTTATGGAATTGAGATCATTCCTTGGATTTTGTGGATACTACCGGACACTTGTACGAAGATTTTCTCGCATTGCAAGTTGTCTACATGAACTGACGAAGACAGACAAACATTTTGAATGGACTGAAGTTTGTCATGTGGCTTTCGAAAACCTGAAGCAATGTTTAATTGGTGATCCAATACTCGCCCGACCAGACTTCACACAACCTTTCATCCTTGACACCGACGCAAGTGATAAATCAATCGGTGCAGTTTTATCTCAAAGCATTGATGGAGTTGAGAGACCTGTCGCTTATGCAGGACGTACACTGACCAAATCCGAAAAGAGATACTGTGTCACACGAAAGGAATTGTTAGCAATTGTCTACTTTGCTAAATACTTCAAGCACTTCCTGTATAAAATAATAATAAATAATAATATACAACATTTATATAGCGCCCTATATAATTTGTAAAATTACTTTAAAGCGCTTTACAACATAATGGATAATAGTATTAGTTATAATTGTGAAACAAAAAGAAAAGCTTACAAATACAGTGTATGGAAAGATGTTCACTGAGAACAGACCACAGTTCATTACGCTAGCTTTAAAATTTCAAGGAACCAGAAAGCCCGATGGCCAAATGGCTTGACGTATTGAGCTCCTACAATATGGCCATTAAGCACAGACCAGGAAATCAGCGCAGTAATGCTGATGCACTGAGTCGATACCTTGCAGACAATGTGGGTTTGACCCAATGTGGGAGAAAAACAAGATCAAGGACAAAAAGTACGCTCAGATGGTATCCAGGAAGATGTTTGTGAAGGACGCTCTGAAGACGAGAATCAAAAGGAGGAGTTGTCGCTTCAACAGAAGCAGAAAAAGGATCTCGGTATTGCAGTAGTAATGGAAAGGGTGAGGAAAGATGAGAAACCTCCATATTAGAAAATCGGTGACCAAAACATAATAATAAAGACATTGAGGGTCAATTTGAATCCCTGGTGATACATGGGGAAATGTTGTATTGGAAAAATCCCCATTCAGAATCGACTCTACAGGCAATTGTACCAACAGTTGAAAGGCGAACCGTGTTGATACACGGCATGACTTTAGAAGCTCTGGGCAGCTTGGAATGAAGAAAACGCTGGCAAAAATAAGACAGAGTTATCATTGGTCATGTCTTCAGTCAGGTGTCAAAAACGATGTGGCCGGATGTTAACAGTGCAGTAAACGCAAGAGTCCATGCAAAACCAAGCGAGCACCAATGCAGATTCTGGAGTCAGGCTTTCCTATGGAAAAGATAGCAATAGATATTATCTGCGAACTCCTAAGTACAAAGATGGGTAACCGCCATAGCTTAGTGGTATCTGATTATTATACTAAGTGGACAGAGAGTTTTGCAATGCCGAATATGGAAGCTCAAACTGTTGCCAAAGTACTTGTTGAGGAGGTGATATCTAGGTTTGGTGTTCCTTACAACATTCATTCTGATCAAGGGTCTCAGTTTGAAAGTTCTGTAATTAAAGAGGTGTATTTACTTCTACAAATAAACAAGACGCATACGACTCCCTATCATCCAAAGTCCGATGGAATGGTAGAACGGTTTAACAAGACACTTGTAGCCATGCTTAGTGCCTTTGTGAACGAACATCAGACCGATTGGGATGAACACTTGCTGTATATGATGATGGCGTATCGCTCTACAGAAGATGAGACGACGGGGAACTCGCTGAATAGCATGATGTTGGGAAGGGAAACAAACACTCCATTAGATATTTAGTACGAGATGGCAAGGAATATCAAGGCCATTCCTCAAAACTAATGGGCTTGGCAGTTAAAAGAAATGATAGAGAAAGCACACGACTTGGTGAGGAAGCACTCCAAAGCAGCGATGCTGCAAATAAACCGTTACCATGACCAGAAATTGTCTTTGACTGAATTCAAGCCTGGTGATTCTTCTACCCGAACATCCCGACTGGGACCACACACAAGTCAGCCAACCGATGGTTTCAAGGTACTCACCAGAATAACCGAGGTTACTTACAAAGTAAGATGTGGATACTAGGGAAAGAGTCAAGTGTTTAATGCTAATTGCATGCGATCGAGACATTCACAAGTATTACTGGGTAAAAGTAAAGCGGAAGAATCTGGACTGAAAAATGTGCCAGTACCATTTGATGAATCATGTTTTGAAAGTGGTCAGAAAGAAAGAGAATGTAAGTTTTCGGAAGATTTGACCTCAAGTGAGTTGAGACATGAGGTAGAGCAAAAATGAAGCAATGAGAAAGAGTGCGAACAAATCAGATCAAACCCAAGGCGGCTTATAAGGAAACCGCAATGGCATTTAGAATACATGTCAATTTATTAGAATGATCTATTCTGATTGGTAAACTACCCTCAATTTTGTCATTCCAGAAGGTGGTGAAGACAAAGTCTACCCCAAGGAAACAGTGTGTAGCTCAAAATGAAGGTTATGCCGGGATATTTCATTTTACATATTATTATATGATTTATACAACAAATTAAAACGGTGTAAGATAAATTCTGAGAATTTATTAACAAGTCTGCAGATAAGGGGTGCGTACCACCTGTAGCAGTACCTCCCTTGGACCTGATGGAAAATAACCGATAAGCTATTGACCCTGTAGTGCTGAAAAGCAGAGTGCTTGAAAGTTGTGGCTACCAACACGATTCGAACATGGATTTGGACTGACCTGAAGCTCATGGAAAACCATAGCCTGGTCGCTTAAATGTCCGGAAGTCGATTAGAGTTGGGAGTATCATCACTTAGGCCGGGAGTTCAACTAACTGTCTTACCCTGGGTCATATGGAGTTGATGTTTTTAGTCCAGCTAACCACAGGTTCTGGAGGTCGATTGACAAATTTTGGGTTGTATAGCAGCCGACTGGCACCATTAATAATCCATGTAACATGCTATTTCATGATGCCAGTTTACTGCCATCGGCCCAAAGGAGTATGTGAAGCATTGGTTTGATAACCAAGTAAGGATACGAGGACCCCAAAGGGGGATGGAGGAGAAGGACCGATAGTTTTCTTGTTTGAAATTGGTATATTGAGTTTCATAAAACCATAGACAGAATAGCCATTGTCAGTTAATTTACTTGGGGTGGTGCTTCGATTGTCAGAAAGTCATCCAGGTAATGCATTATATAGAGGATATTTAATGGTGTTTTCAGTAATAACAAATACATTTCACGAGTGTGGCTAATATTTTGATATTTTTCACGAGTGCGCAGTACGAGTGAAACATATCCAAAAATTATCCACACGAGTGAAATATATTTGTTATTACTTAAGACACCATTAAATTTTTCTATTTATTACATTTTTAAAGAATAAAACATGAAAAATGTAATGCATCAAAAAGGGCGGGAATCAGAAGCGTAATAATTAGCGCCATATTCTGATGACGTCACGCTTAACAACAAGGCTGTGCGCCATTTTGAAGGGATACTCAACGCAATTTCGACATTTTCTGCTATTGTCTGGTATGATTGCCTATGAAAATGTTATTAATTGTATATTCATGTAAATAATCAAGTGTGTGTATCAAACATTTACCATAAAAACCACATATTCTACCGTCGCTTCATTTGAATCTGAACAAAAAAATCTTTGCCTTTGAATGCAGCGAATAGAAGATATCGTTATGATTGGTCAATACCAAAATGTGATATTTTCACACTGTGAAAATATCACTTTTGCTATTTGTCACAGTGTGAAAGATATCAGTTTTATCAAGTTGATAGAATCCGATATTTCACTGGCAAAATTATAATGAATAATCTTTCGCATAGTTATTTGATAATATCCAGCAAAGAGCAGTTGATAGTAAATCAAATATCTTTGGACTTGAACAACATCCAAAATTCTGAATACTTTGCCGTTGCTAAACCTATAGTGCTGATACGTTAATCATAAAATGTGGCTCTGTAAACGGTTCAATGAGGTTTTTCTTGTCAAGTTCACTTGCTTAGAGAGTATCCACAACATCCGGTTGAATAGTAGCACTTCACAAGTTTCTATAAACTAAAGATGTATCTGGTAACGTTGAGATACCTGTATTAAAAGCGTTAAAACTATAATTCCAATGCCACAATATTTATTTACAATGTTTCCATGTAGCCTTTGCTTTGTGGATTCTTTGTTTTGTTTTGTGATATTGGCTGATTTTACTGAGCACTTTACAACATGTTGGTACAGGCAGTTTTCCCTGGTTCAACCATCTGTGTCGTTTAAGTTGTTGCAGACCTCTTTACCTTGATGCATAACACGAGACCGTCATTTTTTATCAGTGCGACTATCTACTTTCCTGTTGTTTGCTTTGTGGTTGATGTTTACTCGAGAATGCACTGTTGCACCATCTGTGGTGGTATTTGATGGTGACGTAATGTATATTGCCTCAGTTGATGCAGTTGACACTTTTATGGCGTCTCCTACATTCTCCTCGTATAATTAAATTAGCATTGTCTTGCTAAACCCCATTGGGTGGTGTTATGCTCAGTCCGAGTAACTTGGACAAAAGTTCACCTACAGTCCATAGTTTTCAGGTTTGTGAACATCCCACGCATGTTCTGCAGTCATGTGATTCATAGTAGCACGAATCCCAAAGTCACTGTCACTCGTTACTGTGGTGTTGTCGTTTGCTCTTCGTTTACGCCCCCGGGGCTGACCACGCCCGCAACCATACATAACTAGGTTTTGACACCATAATAACAGAATCCTTTTGTTTGTGGTAAGGCAGCCTTTTTGAAAGGTAAGAATGTATAAGTCTCTCGGAGGCCAGCAAAGATACTGTTTTGTATTATGACTGTATAGCTTGACTATCAGAAAACAGCTTAGCAGTTGGCTAGAGCGTTCGAACAAGGAGAACTTGTCATGTGACCACACTAGGTCCTAGGATTGGATCTCATATTCTTTCCCTTATTAGTATGGAACCAATACCCAATATAGCACATATAAATTGGGCAAAGAAGGGAGACCCTCTGTTTACTGTGTTGCTGTCAGGACAGTGAGGTTATGGGAGGTAACGGGGCACTTACGTAACTCGCAAATGTGTGAAAATCTATGTAAAAGAGCTATAGACCAAAACGAATGCAAAAAACAAGTACTCAACGTCCAGCTGTGTCTTCATAAGTCATACGGTAACATATACCGGCTCTCTGTGTCAGGCACTGGCCTAGGGCGCAAGGTAAAACTCCGGTCACTCAAAATTGTATACCCCTGTTCTATTACCTGGGTAGGGGGGGAGGGGGGAGGGGGAGGGGGGGGAGGATCGGGGAGGGTTGTTTTGGAATGGGTACTTTTTAGTAGATCACATAATGCTTTTTTCAGCGTATATGTTTCGTTCCATATGTCTTAATTATCTCTCAAAAACAACACTAAAAACCTGTTTTAGAGCGGATTTTTTTTTCTACTTTTAACTGAACCAACTAATGGGTAACACCGACAGTATCGGTCAATCTTCAATTATGACGTCACGTAGGAATGCCATGTGACATAATTTTCCATTGTGACGTCGTTAATCATGATAACGAAAACAGATCAAATGTAAAACGAAAAACAAAAAAGCAATTTCTTCTTATTAAGAAAAAAATAAAGTATGTCTGCAAAAATGTATGGAAATTGAAAAGTGTTTCCTATAGTTTTACACTTCCTCTACTTCCTATAGTTTTGGCACTTTTTTTGGCACAGTTTTCGACTTTTCATCTCCGATTTGCCATACAATTTGTCCAATAATAAAAGGTCTTGAGGGATTTTTTTTGCCACATTCATAGCTTGAGATACACATATGAAGCGATGATAGATGATATCACAAACTGGTATTATATAGACACAGTGGGCGGATTGGTAACACTTTGGCCTTACACACAGGCGGCCGGGGTTCGATCCTCGAAGTCGTCCCACTCATGGAATATTCAGAGAAAGTGTTTTTCTCCTGTCCGCACTACACCAACAACTCAGGTTGAGTATAAAATGGTCTGGGGTGGATGTTGCGGTATCTGTGCTGAGGCATTCAAGTGAGGTGGCAATATAAATAATGCCGTTGGAAGAACGGTCCCACTAAAAACAGTACACAATACATCTCCAGGCATACACACAAAGGGAGCTATTAGCCAGGTGGCATATGACTAGTAGCTAACGCCTGATAAGGCAGCTCCTGTGAATTCCTCAAAATTGTATTGATGATTGTATATGCTAATTGTATTAATTGTATACTATGTACTGTAAAGTGCTTTAGAGTTGCTAATGTTAGCTAGATAGGGCGCGATATAAAATATTTTATATTATTGTAATTATTATTCAAATTTGGCCGATTTTTTTCTCTCTTCTTTCTCTCAGTTTTACTGCTTTTCTTCATTACAATGAGTGCGATTCGGAAGCTAGGATCACGAAATACAGACGTGTGGTTGGTGTTCGTCTTGGATTTCAAGCAGCTAAAAAAATTTTATTGATGAAGCTCATCAATTTATTCCTTTCTGAAACGATCCAATTAATATATAATACACTCTGTTATACAGACTAGAAAAATACGCAGTTACGTTTGAACGGTGTTTTGTAATGTCTGCAATCACCTATAAGTATTCGTTTAAACGTCTTTCCTGCCACTATTGAACTGATAAGGACTGAGTTACACCGATCGTATCTGTGTTGGGTTTAGACCGATTATGTAAATATATCAATATGTCTCTGTGTGTGGTTAACGAGAGTTTTGTGTGCATTTTATTGTCGTTAACCAACCACCAGGAAGTGATAGTA